TATGTTAAATTGCTAGATTATACACATTTAATTTTACAGTTGCATAATAATCTCTATATTTCTCAGATAAATCTTTACCTACACCCACCACTATGAATTCTCTCAAAAAAGTAGATTGAATCTGCCCGAAGTAATCCAACAGTCTTAAGAAAGGCACTGAACTTTTCGAACGATCAATTATGATTAAGATAGTCCCGTAAGCCAAAGCTGCTCGTACAGAGTAAATCGACAAATTCAATTGTCTCTCCAACGAATTATCAAAATTAAATCCTCGTTTCTATCAGAATACAAAAATGGTTGATTTTTTTCGCTGTCGCTTTTAGTACTGTGAATAGCATTTTTGTAGCAGGATGCTTGCCAAAGTTTATTCATAGAAGATACAATCTCGGTCCAGAATCTTGATACATATAGAAAAACAGAATTAAGGATAAAGCCTCAAAGGCTCCGAGTCCTTTTGGAGCTTTCGTGATGATGCAAAGCACGGCGATCCCGACATTAGTGGATTGCGATTCGCTATTTTGCACGTGACGGCGCAACGCGATTAGGATAAACGGGTTTCTTTGCTTTTGCGTTTGACGGCTTGCAATTATGCGAGCTGCAGCTCGCGTCAAATGCGCGCCTTTGCGCGAAAAATCAGATGGAAATTGCAGGAACCTGAAGGCAAATTTGACACGCAAAATTCCACGCTTATGTTAGACACAACAATGGACGTAATAATCGTGATAGTTGGCACAGCGGTGACTATAACTTGCTCTGTATTTAATTGGAAATTCTTAATTTAATCAAGATAATTGATTAAGCTGTACGTTTAACGAAATAATCTAGCTTTGCGCCAGAGAAATAACATTTTTATTTCCTATTATAAAATGCATTAATCCTCAGTTATACAGTTTAATATGATTAACTACTAGAGAGAAACTTATTAATTTCATTAATTATATTTTATTATATAATATGCTTATTGCAATGTGTGTGAATTTGTTTTTATTATTTTCAATTGCATTAAATAATAAAAAATGGTATAAGACATTTTTTTCTCTCTTTTTTCCAAGATAACCAGGCTGATGTTCATAGTCAATTCTTACATTTAAGATTATTTTAAGTACATACTTAAAATATCATAAACATACCGTAACAATAAAACCGTATAAGCATCTTAAGATATTACGTAAGATAATCTTGAAATAAGAACGGATTATGAATACTGAACGTTTAAGAATATAAGGAAATGTTTTTGGAAAAGATCTTGAACGTCATTTTCGCGTTTGGCTTATGTGAAACTTTCTCTTTTTTCATCAATCAATATTATATGAAAAATAATAAAAATAAATAATATTTCAGTTTTCTAGAAGAGTACGTGACTAACGCTACGAAAGTGATAGAGCACGACGACGGCTCCGTGACCACGTAAAGCGGCTGGACCTCCTGTGAGGGGGAGGTCGAGAACCGCCTGCGAACTCCATAGAGCGTCCCTTCTTAGGCGATGATAGATCCAAGTTCATCCGAGGAGGAGAGTGAAGAGGATCAGAGCACCCACCATGGAGGCGGCGGTGGCGGTGGCGGCGGCCGTGCCGGCAGTGGTAGCTCTCACGGTTCCCGCCGTCATCCCGGAAGTATTGGAAGCGGTCCGGGTTCCGGTAGCGTTGGCTCGCTCGCCTCAGGTCTCACCGCCTCACCAGGTGGTCCAAACCATGTGGGCCCGCCGAGTACCGCGAGCAGTCATGGACCTGGAGGTCGTGCCGTTGCGGGATCGCAGGACACCGCTGGGACTGGTTTGGACGTGCCCAATCTCACCAGCGCCAGGAACTCCTTGTCGCCGTCGATGAGCGCAGCCCAGGATGCTGCAAATTATGCTCAGAGACCTACCAGTCCGTCTCCCTCGGTGGCCAGTGAGAAAACGGAAGCGGAGTTACAAGTACGCAAGTGCATGCAATTATTCTCATTTTTATTTTTAGCCAAGAGATCTTCAAGCTTATCGTGTGCTTTTTGTTTTATGTGTTTGAAAAAGCATATATAGCAAAAGTGTAAAATGTATATCTGTGATATACATAAAAAAATAATGTGATAAAAAGTGAATTTCTCTAGAAAGTGAAGTTGAGTTTTTTTTAAAAAGTGATCTAATATTAAAAATAATAATAATAATTTTAAATTTAAACGGTTGTGAGAAATGTCTTGCTTGGCCCAACTTCTTTCGCGACGAAAAATTGATAACAAAATAATTTTTAACATTACATGCTTTATTGCTGCTACAACTTTTTACTCAACAACTTATCCTCAGGATAAGCAAGAGAGAGAGGAAGAAGAAAGGAAAACCCGGATCCAGCTTTACGTTTTCATATCTAGATGCATCGCTTATCCGTTCAACGCCAAACAACCGATGGACATGACGCGAAGACAGATGAAAGTAACGAAGCAGCAATTGGAGACCATTTGTTCTCGTTTTCAGGTAGATAGACAGTTTTTTTATTAAAAGAAAAAATTAATTAAATTTCCATTGAAGACGAATATAATGTAAAATAATGTTATAGATTTTTTTCGAAAGGTGTTTCGAAATCAAATCTATTTATTATGGTTGCCAATTTATATTTTATTCGAATAAGAATATTGCTTAAATACTCATTACGTGTATTTATAATTTTATGAAATAAGAGAAACCCTTCGTGGCGAATAGTCGTTTTTTGAAGCCTTATGCAGAGTCCTATAGTTTAATCTGTAACCTTCACCTTCGCCGTTCTTAGATATATCGAAGCTGTACGATCGCATTAAATTATTGGCCGCTATAAATATAGACCGTTCCCGCTATATCAACGTAATCGTATTTCATGTCATGTATCATTGCGTGAGATCTACATTAATTCTTTCTATATCTTTCCTTGGATATGGAAAGATAAAATAAGATTTTGATTCCTTTTTCGTATAAAAATATATGTTTATATCGTATATAGAGATAGCCTTTAGCAAATTATTTTACATAGTAATAAAAGAACTAACTTACAAAATTTAGAATTTTTTATAGCACAGTTTGACGAAAACAATGTTACAATATAAAAAGACACCTCCAGATACATCACTTGTAATAAATGTAAAATAACATTAATGTAAATTGCAGAGTTTTTTGAAGGGCGAGACGCAGATCATGGCCGACGAGGCATTCCATAATGCCATACAGAATTATTACGACGTATTTCTGAAGTCGGATCGAGTGGTGCGAATGGTGCAAAGCGGTGCATGCTCCCAGCTCGACTTCCGCGAGGTATTCAAGAAGAACATCGAAAAACGTGTTCGGAGCCTCCCGGAAATCGACGGATTGAGCAAAGAGACTGTGCTTACGTCCTGGTTGGCCAAATTCGATTGCATTTTGAAAGGTACTGGTGACGAAGACACCAAAAGGCCTTCCAGGATGCAACAGCAGTCTTTGAACTCGGAGCTGATACTGTCGAAGGAGCAGCTATACGATATGTTTCAGCAGATTCTTGGCATCAAGAAGTTTGAGCATCAGCTTCTGTTCAACGCCCTCCTGTTGGACTCAGCCGACGAACAGGCTGCCGCCATCAGGAGGGAGCTGGACGGTCGCATACAGAAGGTCAACGAGATGGAGAAGGTATCGTGACGGTTGATTTTTCTCATTTTCATTTGGGCTTTTATTCTATTTTAATGCTGTTTCATTTTGGACATGGATACGTTCTTTCTATCTGTTTTATCGCTGATATTCCACCGATCGCTTCTGCTCATTCCTGAACGCCGACCGTTCCTTCTTTATCCTTAGAACCGCAAGCTCATGCCCAGGTTCCTCCTAAAAGAGATGGAGTCGCTCTACATCGAGGAGCTCAAGTCGTCTATCAACCTGCTAATGACTAATTTGGAGTCGTTACCAGTCTCCAAAGGTTCGATAGACAGCAAATATGGGCTGCAGAAGCTGAAGCGCTACAACCATCGTGGTGAGCGCTCCCGCTGCCGCGGTCAGGGTTCCCTCGCTAAACTGGAGGGCGACTCCGCCGATTCCGATCCCCAGCTGACGAAAATGGACGTCGGCCTGACCTTCCAGCTGGAAGTAGTCGTAATGGAGGTCAAGGGCCTCAAAAGCCTAGCACCCAATAGAATAGTTTATTGCACCATGGAGGTGGAGGGCGGCGAGAAGTTGCAGACCGATCAGGCCGAGGCCTCCAAGCCTATGTGAGTAAAGAAAGAGAATCAACGATCGGAATCCCGATCGCGATACACCCGACGGAGGGTCAGGACCGACCGCATCATTCTCGTCCACGGGTCCTATTTATAGGTGGGACACTCAGGGTGACTTCACGACAATGCACCCCCTGCCGGTGGTCAAGGTCAGATTGTACACCGAGAATCCAGCGATGCTCGCGTTGGAGGATAAGGAGCTGGGCAAGGTGATCCTGCGGCCCACTCCGTTGTCGTGCAAAATGCCAGAGTGGCATCGCATGAACGTGCCCAAGAACTGCGCCGATCAGGATCTCCGCATAAAGATCGCCTGCCGCATGGACAAGCCGCTCAACATGAAGCACTGTGGCTATCTCTACGCGATGGGCAAGTCCGTATGGAAAAAGTGGAAGAAGCGGTACTTTGTGTTGGTCCAGGTCTCGCAGTACACATTTGCGATGTGCTCATACAAAGAAAAGAAAAGCGAGCCGTCGGAAATGATGCAGCTCGATGGCTATACAGTGGACTATATCGAATCCGTTTCTGCTAATCTCATAGTCGGCATGGATTTGGAGGGAGGAAGGTAAATTTTCCTCCCTCGCAGAGAGCGAGAAATACCTAAATATCCCCGCTGCAGCAGCATGCTCGTAGTCGCACAGACTCATAAGATTATCGATTACAATCGTTCGTCGTTAATTATTAAATTTTTATTAAGACAGTTTTCATTTTTAGTAGTAGAAATTTAATTAAATTTTTTTATTAATTTATTGCAACACCACACGCTATTAAAATATTCTTTAAAAGCTTCAAAATAATAAAATTTTAAGTTGATTCTATAGCAAAAAGTTCAAAGTAGTATTTAGGAAAGCAATCAGCTTTCGATTAATACTTATTAAATATTTTATTAAATATTTTACATATCAATTTTCTAACGTGATCGAGCAAGATATTTCACAGCTAGCGGGCGAAGATGGTCCATCCCAATCGCATTATCGCAATATCACATTATCGCAATCACGAATTGCGTGTATTCGACAGGTTTTTCTTCAACGCTGTGCGTGAGGGCGACAATATAGTGTTCGCCTCAGATGACGAAAACGAGTGTCATTTGTGGGTAATGGCGATGTACCGGGCGACTGGTCAGTCGCATAAGCCCACCCCACCGGTCTCTGTGGCTGATAAGAATTCAACTATCAGCAAGATTCAAGGTGATGCCGATCGCGCGAAGAAGCATGGTATGGAGGATTATATCAGCGCAGACCCGTGCAAGTTCGACCATCACGTTTTATTTAAGTATTTGCAAAACTTGATCCTGGACTACAGACTGAACGATCCTTACTGTTCGCTCGGCTGGTTCTCACCTGGTCAAGTTTTTGTACTGGATGAATACTGCGCTAGGTAATAGATCTCGTGTTTGTGTTTCGTCAAGAATAAATTCGGTTTTTTTTTTTTATGAAGCGTAATATTGTTCTTAATGTATCGTTTGTTTCTTCATTATCTATTTTACACAAGTACGTAAACGTATTTTATATCTTAAAAAAAGATGCATTTAAAAACGAGACATTAAAAAGATAATAAACTCGTGATGCATTGGCGGTTAATCTTTTTCTTTCATTTTTTGTCCACGATATCGATTGAGATGTATTTTCTTAATGATAGATATGGCGTACGCGGATGTTTTCGGCATCTTTGCTATCTTCATGATCTGTTGGATAGAATTGATCGTGGGATCATGATAGATCCGACTTTGATACACTTTAGTTTTGCCTTTTGTGCCACTCATGTCTACGGCAATACAACATCCGCCGATGGTGTGGGCTCGATTACTCACGAGGAGAAAGATAAATTTCTCGAGATTAAGGAACGGCTTAGGCAGATACTCGAAAAGCAGATCACCAACTTTAGGTAAGCAATTCTAGTCTCCTATTGAACTTGGTGAGAATATAGTGTAAAAGAAAAGAATAATTTTCTAAAGATTACGTTAAATGTTATTAATTATATCCTAACTATTTCCTTGCAACAGATATGGTTTTCCATTTGGACGTCCGGAAGGTGCGTTGAAGGCAACTTTATCTCTCTTGGAACGCGTTCTCATGAAAGACAGCGTGACGCCCGTGCCGCAGGAGGAAGTGAAAGCGCTGATAAAGAATTGCTTGGAAACGGCGGCGCTAGTAAATTATACGAAATTGTCCGCCGAAGCGAAGATTGAGGATGATCTCAGTGGCGAGGTGTGCGTGCCTCCCAGCAAGAAGCTGGAGGATCTCATACATCTCGCCGAGTTGTGCGTTGATTTGCTCCAGCAAAACGAAGAACATTATTCGGAGGTATTAGTTGGGTTTTTAGAACTGAGTGTCGAGTCTCGGGGCTCTCGAGAGAGAGGATCAGCATGCCTTGAAACACGGACTTGGTAAGGGTCCGCCACCTCCTCAGAAGACAAATGCGCGTTCGCAGCTCATTTCTTCTCGTCGTTGTAGACAATTGGCTCGTAGATAATCGCATAGAAAGCTTCTATTATCACCGCGAAAATCGCTTTCACGTAGAACAATCGTTGAATCGCAGACGTCGTGAGGTATCCTTTTACAATTGAAAGATGTTCACTTTTTTGCAGAAAGATAAGAGCAACACTTTATTTTTTTAATTGTTGTTACATCTCTCTATTCGCATACATGCCATGTATATACATGTATATCATGAAACATGTCACAAAACGATAAATAGGATAGATGTATCAAAGATCACCATTGATTTGACACTTATTTTCGTATTTAATTATCGTATAACTATCTCTTGAAGAATCCAAAATCGTCACAATGATTTTCTCGATCAATATTCTTCTTCCATTATTAGAAATACGCGTCAAAATACTTTTAGTACTTTTATTTAGCAAAGGAACTGAATAATTCATTGCTGCGTCTATCCTAAGACTCTACACGTTGCTGCGTTTAGTTTAAATTTAATTTCACTCTCACTTCTCACCAGATATCTTTCGCAAACGAGTGATATTTCGTTGACATTTGATCGTGATACTTCTCCCGGTGTCTCACTCAAATTAATAATTCACGTTGGAATCTTAGAAGCAGCAAACGCTTTCGCTTAGCATCGCGCGAATTTTTCCAATCGTTTTCACACGCATTATGAAGTAGAAGTAGTGTCTTCTGGGTACTCGAGGGCCCCCCGTGCTCAGGGTGGCGTCCCCATCACCCCGAGCTAGAGAAAACGTGCCCACCGTATATGTACGACGTCCAATATTTTCACGATCCGCTCCTACTACACTGTACCGCAGGCGTTCGCCTGGTTTAGCGATCTTATGGTGGAGCACGCCGAGATCTTCTGGTCGCTATTCGCTGTCGACATGGATAAAGTACTCGCAGAGCAACCGCCAGATACGTGGGACAGCTTCCCGCTGTTTCAGATACTGAACGATTATCTCAGGACCGACGGTGAGTTTAAATTTCATTCAGAATTATAAATAATTAGATATTTTATTAACTTTTTTCTTAAATATATATCAAAGAGATTTCGATCCTTTGAGATTAGATCTAAAAGTTTTATAACGTAACTGAAAAATTTAACTTGCACATAGATAATTTGAAAAATGGAAGATTTCATCAGCATTTGCGCGACACATTCGCACCGTTAGTGGTGCGTTATGTTGACTTAATGGAAACGTCGATCGCTCAATCGATTCATAAGGGCTTCGAAAAGGAGCGATGGGAAATCAAGGGCAACGGTTGCGCCACATCCGAGGATCTCTTCTGGAAGTTAGATGCGTTGCAATCGTTCATCGGTGGATTGCACTGGCCTGATCAGGAGTTTAGACAACATCTTGAGCAGAGATTGAAGCTAATGGCATGCGACATGGTGGAGTCGTGCATTCAAAGGACCGACGCGGCCTTCCAACAGTGGCTTAAGAAAGGCGTGACTTTCATCTCTACAGATTACATCATACCGTCGGAAATGTGCGCTATGGTGAACGTTATTTTGGATGCCAAGAATCAGAGTTTTAAGCTTTGTACTGTCGATGGTGTCGATGTGGTAAGTTCATTCGGTAGCTGATTCTCGGAAAAGTCGCTGAGGAACGCGATGTAACATCCCGCATTGTCACTTAAAAATAATCTTAATGTAAACTTAAATATGATATATGATAAAATCCATGAATATCATAGTGCTTTATTTGAGCTTCATTAATATTTTACTTATCTAATAGGATCAAAATATTGAGAATGCGGATATGTATTACAGTAGAAGATTTATTGTATAATATATATGATACATACATATTGATGTTATTATTAATAATCAAAATAATATTCACATTAATTATGTTACGTAAAATAGCAATGGTGTTGTTGTAATATTAATTGCCTGACAGGTACACTCTGTATTAATTAATGTCCGTGTTTCTAGCATCAATATCATGCCAAGATTGATGACATGATTGAAAAAACATCAGCGGGAATGAATCAAGGAATGATTAATAAGCTTATAACGGTATTAGAAGCGACGCTTTCTAAATTATCTCGTTATGACGAGGGTTCTCTTATTGGCTCCATTCTCAGTCTTACGGTATTCATTTCGTTCGGATTATTAAAAGAACCAAAAAGAATATTTTAAAAATTAGCGGAATGATTTTAACAATATCTTATAATTTGTTGTTCAGAAAGTATCAGGAAGTGGGAAGGAAATGGGACAGGCTTATGTAAACTTTATGAGAAACTGTATGGATCAGATTCGCAGCAAAGTCCTCGATGAATTGTGGATCTTGACTTTCTTTGAGGTAAGAGTACGCAAAAATATATATTTTTGATTGCGATTGTACATCTGAAAGAAATTTTAACGGTTTTGACACATTTACATTATTAGAGGATATTTCAAATTATTTGATTTGCGGTATTTTTTAGCAATGGTACACGGCGCAGATACAAATGCTGTGTAACTGGTTGTCTGAGAGACTTGATCATAGCTTGCATTTGTATCAATGTACCTGCTTAGCTCATATTGTGAAAAAGATCTACTCAGACTTTGAGCTTCAAGGTGTCATGGAGGAGAAACTCAACACGAAGACATATCAGACTATAGACAAGAGGATGAAGACGGAAGAAGCAACTTGTGCCTTAACCATGAGCGCTCAGAACGAAGAGTAAGATCTCTTTTTATCTCCAATATTAAATATACTATAGAAAATTTGCATAATGGATTAAAAAAATATATATTTTAATAGTGTAAAGACTTCCTTTTTGTAGAATACTAATATAGCTATAAATTTGTATCTTTTCGAAATATCTTTCTCATGTTCTAAAATTAAAAGTAAAAAAAAATTAGAATTACAAATTTATTTAATTGCATTAATTTCTTGCAATTTAGAATGAGGAATTTTTTTATAAGCCGAATAATATATTTTGCTACTGACAATACTAATTAATCTTTTTTTGCAGAGGGCTTTCGGAGAATGGCAATGATGACGAGGTGGAGAGACCTAAGACAAAAGTGACGATCGTTGAAACGATAACGGAAGACGCGAATTACGTGGCTAATCTAAGCAACGTCACTTCGAACGTTGTCGGCAAAGTCGGTAGCATGTTTGGCAAGGGCATCGGCGGTCTTTCTACAAAATTCGGCTCAGCCAGCAATTGGTTCTAGTTATTGTTTCTAGCACTCTGCCAGTAAACCTTACATTCGACTAGTACGTTCCTTCGTCTAAATAAGGGGTTGCGAACGGGAAGACTTCTAAAGGCATAGACAGTACCCTATAGGCAGTACGATGATCTAGAGTTTTGTCCATATAAACGAATGGTACGATTAAACGATGCAATCGATCAGATCAGTTGGCTTTTATCGTCTAGCAAATTATTTTTGGTTTTATTGCGGATTTCTCTTTGAGAAAGGCTTTCGGCCGTTCTCCGCGACGTCCGACGCGCGGAACTACAAAATTACTTACTGATTAATCATGATCGAAGAACTGTAATTGTTAATACCATTTATGTTTACTTAGTCGTAGTTTTCGAATTTAAAATAATAATGCATATTAGACGTAACAACACGCGCGTTGAGAATTACAAACTTGTTGTCGGCTCGTTTCAATTAACCGTTTATGTTTGATCTCAGGTAATAGCGAAAATATAGGCAAAATATATTCGGAAAGGCTGATTGTGCAAGAATATACGCACGATATAGACGAGAGTAAACGCGTAGATATCTAATCATATTACAAAGGTATATGTATATAAACGTACATGTGCATATGCAACGTGTAATTATGAGGTATTCATACATTCTGTCGTGGTCTGCATGCGCCAGGCTAACGTCGTTGATATTTATATATTTAGCTGAATTGTCAGAGCACAGAATGCAGATGCAGATTTTTCCTAGTCTGTGTACCGCGAGTTGCTTTTGCGGATTTAGTTGTCGAAGGATAAGAGCACGGACACGTATTTCGCGTAAGTTGAAAGAGATTCTCGGGTCGATTGCAACGTTACTTGGATGCAGGATGTGGGACCGCGAGAGATAAAAACGTGAAAAATCCCAGAACATAGAAAAGAGAAAAATGGGTCGGAAAGAGAACCGCGATTAAAACGAAACTGCTTACCGAGTTAATTTTGCAACCAACGAGGCAATGCTTTTTCAACTGTTAGGTACGATCGCTGTTATCTGTTGGATGACCATTCGCCTGATACCCGAACGGAAGATCTCGTATTATCATCAAAATTTGTTACGAAACGAAAATAAGAAAAATAAGGAAGAGACAAGTTGTGACAGAAAATACAACATACGAGATGGCAAAAATTCTGTCAAAAATTTCAAGCACAGCTTTTTGTGAATCCAAATATTATTTTTATTTATTTTCTATATATATATATATATATATATATATATATATAATATATATAAATAAAATATATATAAATATAAAAATATATATAAATATATATATATAAAATTCAAGATTAAAACGGTAAAAACGTTTTGATTGCAGTTTTGATGAACACAATATTTGCGTAAATGATTGATAGTTTTCCAAATGGCAATAAATAATAAGCATAATAAGCTCAGTGTTTAAAATTAATTTAAACACGTTGTTAATTAGTTGCAATCGAATGGTCGCTATCAACCATCAGAAGCAGTGAGCGTAATAGCAAGTTATTTCTTATCTGTGTTATATTTATGCTAATTTATGTTACATTATACCATTATACTTGATATCGATATATATTAGCGTATCGTCCACGGATTATAATATAAAGAAGATAATCGTGATTTTTTATTTGCGAACGGAGAATAAATGCGAGCAAGTGCGGAATTTTTCTAGCAAAAATCACTCTCAAAAATTAATCAAAGGATTTTCCCTTTAACGAACATTAAAATTTTTGTTTTAAAGTTACTCGATAACAAGAGTTTTTTTATAAAAATCATATGATAGCTATCAAATATTCTGCGGAGTAAAGTTTTTTCAGTATGCACACTAAATATATTGTGCGTTCACTTGACAATTGTTCATTCTTAAAAGTAATTCTTCATATATGTGAAAAATTTTTTGAAATAGTATTAGAAACAATATCTCAATTGTGTATTTTCCACAACATTTATTATCGAGAATCGCTATTGAGAATAATTCCTAAGATCGGGATATGAGAACGAGTTATCCGATAATAATGAAATACTTTTAATTTTGCTCTAATCGCAATGGAAAGAAAGAATATATCTTTTTTAGCTTTATTTTTCTCGTTATCAATACTATGTCGATACTATTAACGTCCTGTGAAGAACAAGTGTTATGTAGGTTTATATTGCAAGAAAGCCTTGTCTCTCGATCACGAGGTGCATGTATATTTTCAAAACCTCACGATATAACGTTCGTATATCAATGGATATTTTTATTCAGCTTGATATAAACTCTTGAAAGTGCATCAAACGCGAAAGTATAACAACGAAGCAGGATGAAAAATGTATGTCCCTGGAGAAATTATTAGTTATGTTGCAATATGTCGTAAATAAAGTTATTTTGTGTATTTTTTTCGAATCAACGCGTAAGACAAATCCTAATAAAATCATATTTATAACTATCAAGCTCCTCGAGCTTTCTCTGTCTACCTCAAATCCTAAGAAGCATGTCACTATTTATATAAATTAATTTTAGAGCGATGAATTGTAAGAGAAGCAAGAAAATAATATAAACAATTTAATAAAACTATAAAAAATTTATTTACAAAATTTCTAATACATTTCTAATACAAATCTTATATTTGGGATAAAATGTGCAACAATTGTTTTTTCGAATTAGATTTCAGATATTTCTATATAATTTGCTCAAAATTATATTTGTACGACATTAAATTTAAAACAAATATAGATCATGCTAAATTATTTATTTAACACACATTTTTCAATTTGTCTGATTAACGACAGATTACATTTTTCATCCTATTTCGATGAGTAAGGCAGTAAAATTAAACGTAAAAGAAGGAAGAGAAGAAACTATAAAATGTTAGCAGTCACGCGAACGCGAGGCGAGAGATTTACCATTCGTTTGTACATACTTCACCGGTGGCGAAACGGGAAAGAG